TATTAAGCGGCCACCCACTATTAAGCGGCCAGTTTTCAAATTCCCGATTTTTCGCTCATACAAACGCTGTATTTGTTACCTGTATAAGGCGGCACTATCAATTAAGCGGCCGCGGCTACCCTGTAGCAGTCCTATGTTTGTCTTTCTTTGTTATTTTTAGCTGTATTAAGCGGCCACCCTCAAACAGAAACTACGCCACATGTCATTTTATGCGGTATTTTATTGTATTTAAAATGCTTCCATCATCACCATAGAGAAATGACATTTACAAAGCTACTGTAAGCTGAAAATCGGCCGTTTAGTATCGTTAACGCTTTCCAGATGTCCGCAATGTGCTGAAGAACGGCACCATATCGTTACACCACGCCCAGCGAGTATTTTTACTGATCCTGTATTGAGCGGCCATCTGTATTAAGCGGCCAGTTCCTCAAGTCCCGAAGGTGGTCGATATATACAGGTTCGACTGTTATTGAGAGTCATTCGTTAATTACGTTAAAATAAAGAGCACATGCTTTTTATGTTGGTTTTACTCGCTCATCAAAGCCTTACAACTTACCTTGTCTGGGTCGAAGGCTGACATAGTGTTTCTCATGGATATGCCCCAAAACAAGCGGGCTGGTGTAGTCAACAGGACGATCTGGATTGATGATTATATCACAGCCAAGACTGCTGATTACACGAATAGGAGTTTTGTAGCAGTTTGCTGCGGCACGGAGAACCAAGTGATCGCCCCATGTGCCATCCTTTTCCATGCTTCNCAAGACTGCTGATTACACGAATAGGAGTTTTGTAGCAGTTTGCTGCGGCACGGAGAACCAAGTGATCGCCCCATGTGCCATCCTTTTCCATGCTCCTCAAGTAATCAGCCCAAGATGGGTATCCATGGACAAAGTTGAACAGATCTGTTTCATCGGTCTTTGAGAGAGAAAAAACTTTAAAGTTAATTGAACAGGCTTAAAATACATTGTAGCTGACACAATATGTCCATCGTCCTGGACATAACTAATACAAGGAAATGGTTAGGAAAGCTGGCAAAGTTCTTTGTTGTATGTTTTTGTTTTCTCTTTTGCATGTTGACCCCTGCATAAAAGCTGGCAAATACAAAAGGTGGATATATGTTTGCTCATACAACTAACAAAAAAAGAGGCATTGTGATTATGTAATTCATGCATATTCTACGAGCATAAAACAAACGATGCGCAGGGCCACCTTCAAACATCTATTATATATTGGCCTGATCGTTTGTTTCTTTAATGTTTATCGGCCTTCGTAACCATTTCCCTTCATTATCTATGTCCTTGCTTATACCAAAATAAACTTTAGTTTTTCAAGTTCTTAACAATGATTCACCATTTTACACTGAATGATTAGTCAAAGCCTAACTTGGTTATTCAGGGGACAGATTTTATGAAATTAAGTTGACAGATAGTTTTCTTAATAAAGTAACATCGCTCGATTGAGCCAGGGACACAAAGTACCTACTAATACCAAAGCATCTACTGGTTATTTGGCCCACGCACTCGAGGAAAGACTATGGACCTGAAATTTCACCATCAGTTACTCAAAGAGATTTCAGAGCCCTGTTTTCCCAGTCTTGTACAAAGCCCAGGTTTATTTACAGCAGAAGCCACCTGTGGACCATTGACTTACCAGTTTGGGGGAGTTCTCAAGGCATTCGACTAACTTTTTCCGCAGTTCATGTTTCTGAAATTTGCATTCCTTTCACGCTTTGAAGTTGCTCTGACAGCGCGTGGAACATACAGTTTCCAGATCCTGGGTTGTCACAAATGCTGAATCCCTTGTCTGAAGCAATCTTTTGTAGATCTTCTGACAGGCCATTTTTCTTGTGGAACTTTTTTGGATCGCACTGCATTTGCTGCAGATCATGAATAATGTTCATAGCTGGAAGCAAACAAAAATTCCTTCAGTTTCAACTAATTCTAACTGGGTAACTAAGCAATCGGTCATGCATTTCTCTAGTTTACATAATTTTTTTTCTACATCCATGCTCAAAAATCGAACTTAAAATAAGAATCGGAAATTATACGAAACTGACACAAAAATTAGATGACCACATGACTGTTCAAGCTTAAAGCCATAATTGATGGGATATTGATCTGCTCTTCACCTTTTCCTTTCCTGACGAGAACTGCTAATTTGCAACAGATGTATCATGAGGGTAGGCCACAAATGGACTAAAAGTTACAATTGTAATAACTGTACGAGGGCCACAAACGTAATCAGGTAATAAGAGACAGGCGCAAAATTATTACACTGGTGTCTTTGTAGGACCAAATAAATAACCAAGTTTGAAAACTTAACGATGTTCATTACATGTATTTCTTCTTTTACTCGTGAATTGTGCCTAGCTAATTTTCATCATTTAATGACTATTAGGAAGTAAGCTTGATATCAGAAGCTAAGTTAATCAGAATATGAATTTGATTTTTTAGTGTTCAGAGCCGCAGGTACCTGTCTGTTCTCCACTCATCGTCTGAGTACCCTGGGTAGTAGATGAAACAGACGATCCCTCTTCTCCCTGAGTTGACTTCTCACAATCTACAGAACAAGAGAAATATGAACAGTTATCCTATATTGTTTCCTCATGTAGAACGGAAAGTATCCATAAATCCAACGACAATTTGTACTACCTGGTATAAACGTTTCTGTTATTTCTTCGGTCAGGATAAGATTTACCTACCCCACCCCTGTACTCGATACGTTACGGGGAAAGGCAGCTTAAGATTGAAAAATATGGTTTAACACGCGCATATTTAAAAAACAAAACGCTGGCAAAATTTGCGAGATTTCACTCAAGAAACCCTCACTTTTAAACTAAGAAATCAACAAAACTTTGTCAAGACCTATTGATTAGATATAAATACGAAGATACAAAGGTCTGCTGCAAAGTTACAACCAAAATACATACCCTGATTAACGATGTTAACCATCTTCTCAACAAGGTCTTTACTTTGTTTGGCCCAACTGTATTTCATCTTATAGGAAGAACGTAACAGTTCAGCCTCCTGAAGTCTTGTCTCTCTATCTTTTTTCCAAACTTCCTTGATGGCTTCAGCCCACACCAGAGGATCCTCAGAATCAATCACACATGCTGAACCAAACGGTACTTTACCTAGGGCTTCTCCAAATCCTGAGTTCTTG